GGTCTCGCCAAGTTGCCCAGGTGGGTCTCGAACCCATGGGCTCAGGCAATCCACTCATCTAGGCCTCCCAAAGGCGCGGATTACAGGCTGAGCCACCGAGCCCAGCTGAAAATACTTTTCAACTAGAGAATGTACAGGTTATAAAACAAGCAACTTTCTCCAGTGGAGTTGTAGTGGATTTACTATTTTTAAAATCATAGAGAAAGTACTCAGTATAGAGGGGATTTTGTTTTTTTAAAAAAATTCTTTTCCCTCAGGTGTAAGAGAAGAAATGTTGGCAACAAATAGTAAAATGCAGCCTGGAGATGTGATCGCTATATCCTTGGCTTGTGTTTAAGAGTTTTGGGCCAGGCTCGGTGGCTCAGCCTGTAATCCCGTGCTTTGGGAGGTTGAGGTGAGTGGATTGCCTGAGCCCGCAGGCTCGAGACCCGCCTGGGCAACTTGGCGAGACCTCATCTCTACAATAAAAATAAAAAAATTAGCCGGGTGTGGTAGCTCGCGCATGTAGTTCCAGCTACTTGGAAGGCTGAGGTGGAAGGATCGCCAGAGCCCAGCAGGTTGAGGCTGTGGTGACCAGGAGCATGCTACTGCACTCCAGTCTGGGTGACAGAGTGAGACTCCAACTCAAAAAAAAAAAAAAGATTTTTGGGAGAAACATAGCAGATTCTAGACAATGTCAACCCGCCCTTTGCGCCATAAGGCCTTTCTTTAGCCAAAAGCAAAGATCTGCTCTGAATCAGATGTCAAGTGGCCTATTTCTGTTAAAGTTTGGTTAGTTAGCTTTGCATGGTTGTCATTTGACATTTACATAGAGTTGTTTTAACAGTTAAGGAATCAGAGAAAGATTGAAGCTGGAAGGTAGGAAGGAAAAGTTATGTAGTAGCCAGGCTTGGTGGCTCAGCCTGTAATCCCACGCCTTTGGGAGGCTGAGGTGAGTGGATTGCCTGAGCCCCCGGGAGTGGCCACTGCACTCCAGTCTGGGTGACAGAGTGAGACTCCAACTCAAAAAAATAAAATAAAATAAAAAATAAATAGAGCCAGGAATGAGGCTAATATAAAATGGAAGTCACAAAGACATACATTTGTACTAAGTGAGCTAAATATTTGGCTCTAGCAGGAATTGGGAAACCCAGTAATTGTCATATGACTGTGTTAATTTCAATGGTCATTGCTGAGGAAAAGCACAGGGAATGTCATGGACTCAATGTTGTGTCCTATCACCCCCATTAGTATGTTGAAATCCTCATCCTCAGTGATGGTATTAGAAGGTGGAGGCCTTTGGGACCTGATTAGGTCATGGGGGTGGTGCCTCATAACAGGATTAGTGCCCTTCTAAAAGGAGCCCTTAAAAGCTCTCTTTCCCTCTCCATCACGTGTGGGTACAATGAGAAGATGGCCCACACCAGAGCCCAACCATGCTGACACCCTGATCTCAGACCTGTGAGAAGTCAATTTGTTGTCTATAAGTCCACGGCAC